AGGACGAAAAGCCGACATCCGGGGCTATAATCCGGTTGGTGGACCACTGGTAGTTCACTTAGGGTAGTTGGCTAAAATTTAATTTAACTTTAATATATATATACGTAAGATGAACAGGTTGATGAAAATAGTTTATTCATCTAAATAGAGTGTTTTATGGCATGAGTATTAGTTAGAAATAAAATAAACATAAAATAATTGTACATAAAATGATTTAATTATTCGCCACATTTTAAATAATAATGTTTTTTTTTAGAATCAGTTAGGTCGTATGGTACATGAGATGAAGTTATAAAAACCCTGCTCATATAGGTCGCGTTGGATTTGCTGGATGGTAACCTCGAGATCAGCCTAGCCGAGGGTTAGAGATGCCAAGTGACATGACTGAGTATCGTAACCAGTGGTATTCATACAATTATTAAATGTCTTTGTAGTCTTTGTAATCTACACGAGTTCCCTCTTTACACTATGAAACCAATTCTAACATTCCAATCTTCCTTCTATTCTTTTATCTAGTAGGACAGTCAAAAGACAGATATCAAAACTGTCCGACAAATGTGAATAAACTAAAAAAAAGAACTGAACTGACAAACTTTGGGGTAATTTCGTTGTAGTAGTAGTAGTAGTAGTAGCAGTAGTAGTAGTAGTAGTAGCAGTTGGTGTTGTAGCTGTAATTGTTTTTCGGGATTAACCTAATGCAGAACTTTTACTTACGATTCCAGATACACTTGAAACGGTCCACCGGCTGCAGCATCTGACACCAAAGCCGTGTGCATTTGGGCCTGTAACGGATCGCGACAATTGCCCGATTTCTGATCCGATCCCGTCGAACACAGACCCCGAACTGTCTTTGATGCAATTGGAGTGGATTTGGAGTTCCAGTGTTTCCCTTCTGGACTAGATAAGATTGTTGTATTCGAATCGACCAAACCCAAAGCTTCTGTCAGCGGAACAATGGAAACCGACGATGCATCCGGTAATTTTAACTCAGACACACTAGGTCTACTCGACTGAGATGAGACGTTTCCCGGGATGGAATTTCTACGTAAAGCTTCCCATGTGAATCCGGGAAGTTTGGTCAAACCGAGGACCATTTCCGGTTTGCAAGGAATTGACCATGCCAATTGTAGACTGGTTAACCAATCCCGATTGGTGTCAATCCTAGATAGAATTGACGACTCCGTCGGATGGCCCGTCTCGTTTGCGATCTGAATTATTTGGCTATACCTAGTGCGATCACTGTTGTTCGACGCCAAAGTTGACGGTGGTGGACGTTGAAGACGTAGAGCCTGAGCCGACTTGACCAACAGGTGATTGCGTTCCATCTCAATCAGTTTACCCCGTCTGGTTTGTAATGCACGACTCAGTGCCCGATCACGAACTTCCTCGATCCATCTACGCTCACCTGCACAGACTTCCTCATCCTCTTCGTCCAGTTCCTGTTCCTGTTCTTCTTCCTTCTCCTCCTCGTCCTCTTGCTCCTCTCGGTCGCTACCCGCGGCCTCATACGCCATATTCTTTTCGAACAGCTCCTCATCCAGTGGGCCAGACCATCGCGAGTTCACGTAAGTGCGTTTAGAATCCGGTTCGCTTTCCGTATCCGGTGACCATCTTTGCTCGGTCAAAGCAGACGGATGTGAAGCCACGTAGAAAAGTGCAGAACCGCCCAATGAGGTGGGGAGGAATTGACATTGTGCCACACGGGTTTCCCAATGCAATAACCAACACGGTAACCAGTAGGCTCGTAACTGACGTAGTGTGTCATAATGGATTCGATCGAACATTGCCTCGCCCAGTTTCTCGGCCAAATCACGATTTGTGCTCGTCTGAGATGGGATCAGGTAGAGTGACAGAGTTTGGATTGCAGTCATCACATGACGACGAGATTTCGGTCGCAATCGAAGCGCGTAACGATCTTCCAGTTCTCTGTAAACGGGAATGAAAGAACGAAAGATGGTAGACTGAGTCCCCAGATGAATTTGACCGAATTTTGTGGTCGGAAATTTGACCAATTAACTGTCACACACAGTCAAAAGGGAATGGCTTGGGTTTTAGTACCAGCTTGAAGTCATAATTGGTATATTGGTCCTGTTATGAAAACTGTCAAGTATATCTATTGTGAAAACACTGTTTTCCCGTCACAAATTTGAACAGAGAAGTCAGAAACATGGGTTTGCACAATGTATCTATGGTCATTTTCTCTCAAATCTGTTATCTCACTAACTATAAAAATCACCTGGACTGCAGTATGCACGTGTGTACAGATGCAGCAAAATGACCATGGATACATTGTGCAAACCCATATATCTATTGTGACAGAATCCAACCCCGTGGAGTTTCCCGTTCGGATGGTGCTCAATTACTCTTGACCTTCATAGATTACGTAGGTTGGTATATGTGTTACACATGTCAATGGATAGGTTGCCATGGCGAGCGATGTTCGCCGAAGCAGGTAGTGGGCGGAAAAAAGCCAAGGGTGGTTAAACGAAGACCTGGAATGAGAGTATGAAAACCCTAACCAGGGTCACATCGGTCGTGTTAGGGCTTCCTGGACCTCGAGACGATCGTAATCGATGTTTGGAGACACTGAATGATATGGCTGGGTGTAGTAAGCAGTCGCGTTCGTGCATTTTCTCAATTTCTTTGCAACATTAGTCCACTGACATTCTCAATTTTCTCTTCGCTATGTTTTCCTCATTCCTTCATCCAAATGGGTAGTCAAAAAAACAGCAACCAAAACCGGCTCACGGTAGTGCATGGTTAATGGTTGTTTAAACTAAAACTGAAGCTAACCCCCGTCTGAGTGATTATGTGGTATTTTTACCGATTGTTCTACATTCTGTCCGTATTTTTCCACGTCGTATACTAATTACTCATATCGCAATAAGTAGAACGGGAAGACACTTAAGTTACGTTTGTTGCGGTTAGTAACATTCAACTCACCTACAAAATATCGAAGCATTGTACTGATTCATCAATAAACTAGTTCTGAATGAGCTATCCATTCAATTTTGCCGGATGTTGCAAATTAGATTATTAGGTTATATATTCGTCACAATAACCTAATTCTCAAAACCGGGTATTTTTGAATAAACAGCTTTTTCAGAGATAGTCCATTGAAGAATCAATAACATGATTGCAAAATTATGAATGAACTGACAAAAGATTACGAGATAGGCGTACCTGACGAGCGGCAAGAACCGCGAACTTTTGGGTTGGGACTTTCAACCCTTATCCCTGAGCTACATGGTCGACGATTGTTGTGCGAACGGTTGAATCAATTTTACGGAAGCAAGCTTGGATTGTGGGGAATCAACAATCTTCTGATGAGTGAAAGTCACACCCAAAAAGTGCTTGGTGCCTCTGAATAATCGAATGGGCTAATCCAAGCTTGCTACAGTTGCATGATCCAATTTTATGCATCATGGTCAACGGACTGTGAGTAGTGGCTAAATCATTTCGAGTTTAGGCTGAAGGGTTGACAATCAAGACTAAAGCATCACGGATGAAACTTGATGGAAAAAGGTGTAGATGAACGGAAGTATGCAAACTAGAAAAATAATTTCAATTCACCTCATTCTTATCTTCGCGTTTCCATGAAACAAATCGAAGGAAAACAATTTTCACTTCAAACCATGAGCACTGTTATGCTTGTTTTTATCAAATTGAACATCAAACAAATTCAAATACCGATTTTTTATAAATAGTACGGATTTCCATGAGTGATGCGAACTATGGTCTTTGTCCAAGAATGAAAATCCTGCTCATTGTGTCTCTACTCTGTTTCGGGATCGAACATTGTTGTAACAGACAAATCTGCGAAAACCAGGGACATATTTGTGGTGATCCCAGCCTAAAAGATAACGCATACCTTGGAGCGACAAGTTACAGTTTTCGGACAACTGTGATCAATCAAGTTTCCAAGATGATGTCAGCAGTGCGCGTACGTGTCACAGCCTCTGGACTACAAACCATAGGCCGACTGTACCAACCAATCGGAAGGCGTGCGGCACAGACAGAAGTTGAACAACGCCAGCAATATTAGCACACGATTAGCAGAGGCTTGGACGATCAATGAACTTGCTTTACACATATTTTGTAATCTCCGTGATTTCTTTCACTAATGGAACTGTTATTCCTGTGGCCTTCTCCTTGCGTCTCAGTTACGCGAGATACTGTGTGGTCCAGTGCGTGGTCCAGTTGCGTCCGTGATTAATAGTCTGTGATTTCTAGTCCGTGATTCGTATTTCGTGATCAGTGCGTACGACCATTACTACAGTGTCCAAAATTACTACAATGTTTAAAGTCAACTTAAAATACTCCACTCATTCCAGATTGAAATTCAGTTTTTGGAAGCATTATCATGACTGTCATCAGTCATTAGATGTGATGAAGATCCTATTAACGTTAGTTGACCTAGATGTTGTCTAGAGCAGTTCAACTCATCTACAGCTCGTTTCTTCAAATTTTAGGGCAAAATGTTGTCAGTCGTGCTTGTTACCCTGGTGATTGTTTTGTCCCCGAGCGGGGCTAAATAATAGGGAAAAATAACTAACCGTAGTAATTCAAATTTGGCTCTGATTTTCCTGTCTCTCGGTTGATTGTCCGAGTGCATTCGTACCGCTTCACAGTCTAGCCAAAAGTCGATCAGATGAATCCCGGTTGTTGGGGCCAGAAAAGCGATGAAATCGTACAAGCCGTCTCGCTGCCAGAGAGGATTAAAACAATAAAAGGCAGTAAACCTATATATATATATATACCACCGAGCAAGACAAGCATGGTGCCAACGCTAAAACAAGGATAACGATAACAATAATAGGGGATAGGTGAGTTGCGGTACAGAGCAAAGTGGAAAGAGAGTAAAACAGTTAAATGCGGGAAAATGGAAGATAACTGGGATAAAAATTTATTTTGTGTGTCTCACCGTACAATTTTTGATACTTTTTTGTTTTTGCTATTTTTATTGGGCATGGGATTTCGACAGGCAGACCGTACAGCATTCGCGCCACTGAATTCTGTTCTGGGCCATACCTTTCAGCGTCTCTAACCAACGATAATCCTGAAAGGCGAGCTGCACCAACCTAGCCAAAGCTGAAGTCAGTTTATTTATACCTCTACGTCATGTCATGGGTTCACCGCTGCGCCGGTTCTTTCAACCTTGTCCGGCACGCGCAACGAGAGCACGGAAAGGTAATCGATGGGCAGGCATACGCAATACGTGATCAAGCCATCGGAGGCAGTGCAGAGCGATTGCTTCTATTAGAGAGCGGCTATTTACACCCAACACACGATGACGAAGCTCATTATTACTCACCCGGTGTTCCCACCAGACACGAGCAATGCTTCAGAGACGTCGGTGGTCGAATACAGAAAGTCGATTAGCATCCTCAACACCGAGGGGCCAGGTCTCGCTACCGTACAGTAGAACGCTACGAACCTTGGCAATGTACACCCTTCCCTTAAGCGACAGTCGGATGTCATAGCGGTGCCACAGGTGTCGCAGGATGGGGAAAGCCACTGTAGCTTTCGTTAATCGTGATATGATCTCCTCTCCAACACCTTCACCAGCTGTGATTAAGCTCCCAAAGTACTTACAGCTCTCAACTACTTCTATTTGATCACCACAGAGGGTGAGTGCAGGCACAGGTTCCTGACAGTCTTGAACAAGCACTTTTGCACTTGTAAGGTGCAAAGTACATACCATACCTGGATATCTCGATCGCCAAGCGGTTCAAAGCGTTTTAGACTGCCCGTGTATTGTTGCAAAGTAAGGCAATGTCATCGGTATATTATAAATCAAGTACTTTGTTCCCTGGGAGGAGTTCGACTCCACCGTTTGCTAGACCGAACAAAGCATTCTGTAGAACATGCTTTATGACAAACTTGAAAAAGAATGAGGATATAGGGCAACCTTGCCAAACTCCACTGGAGACGGCGAAGGGTGGCGAAAGTCGACCATAGGCCCAAACCCTACCTGAGGTATGACGTACAACACTTTGAGGAGCGACACATACTTCTCAGGTACTCCATTCCTTAACAAACAGTTCCATAGTACGGTCCCATTGACAGAGTCGAAGGCCGCGCGGATGTCTAAGAATACAATGGTCGTTGGTTTTTGATAAACATGACGGTGATGTAGCAGCTGTCGGAGAGTGAAGAGTTGATCGATGCATCCAAGACCGGCGCGAAACCCAGCCTGCTATTCGTGGGTCTGCTTCTCATGCGTAGTGTACAATCGGCGGAGAATGACGGACGACAAAAGCTTTGACGCTATTGGGATAAGGCTTATAACCCTATGATTGGCGCAGTCATTGTGCAGGCCCTTTTTGAAGATGGGTACAAAAATCGATTCCCTCTACGAGGAGAGGACTTGCTCAGTGTTCCACACTTTGGAGAACAGAACTTGTAGTTCTCTAACAAGCTTCATTTCACCATCTTTAAATAGAGCGGGTGGAAGGCTATCGGAGCCCGGCGCTTTGTGACGTCCTAAGGCTTGGATTTCCTTACTTACTTCCGTCTCAGAAGGTGGGTCTGTTGAAATAGACCATTGGGGATGTACCGAAATAGTTGTGTGATAAGCTGACGCTTTCAAGTGCTCCGCCCAGCGTGCAAGGTGTCGCTGTTGATTATAAGCGGGCGAACCGACAGCTTCGCAGATCGTTGCGATCACACCCAAGGCTTTCCTACCGGTGACCCGGATGAGATGGAACAGCTTACGAAAATTACCCATGGCGCCAGCACGTTCCATCTCTGATGCGCGCTGAGACCACCAAATCTCGCGGTCTCTGCGTAGGCTTCATTAAACTCACGTCTCATTATGGTTCGTGTTTCATTATGCTCGCTGCCGGTCGGCAATGACCGAAGTGCGTCAAGAAGTCACAGAGACTCGGCAAAAATCCAGGGTGTCACGACACGACATGTCAGACCACAACTAACTAGGCTAGTAGAATGCAGAGCATTCTTCATAAGCGACCATAAGCTGGTTAACATTATCGGGTAGAGTTTTTTCTAGCTTTTCAGCTAGCGCGTTTTGGAAGACAGTTGGACAAACTGGTTTGACTGTATCTGGGCTACAGTTCGTTGGTGCGTACGGTGAGACGACAAGCAAGCTACGTTTTTCGGAGCGACCACTTATTATTTTGCACGAGCCTCCATGTCTCACTGCGCATAACCTACTGTCGACTGGGATCCGATCCAGGAGTGCGGCTTCAGATCTCTCATTGAGAGCCACGTCGACACCAGCACGACCAGAAGCTGCAGCCTCAGGGAGACTTCAGTCGGATGCTGGAGCTAGAGTCTTGAATGTGAGTTTCTTGGATACAACACACATCGATGGCTAGGGTTTCGAGCGTACGAGCTAAACACGCCTGTTGTCCTATACGCATCATTGTACGCACATTAAACGTGGTTAGTTTGAAGGGACATCGATGGCGAAGTACGGCTTCATCTGTTGGAGGATTCGATGAAACCTGGATGCCAGTGGAGATAGGATAAAAGCGAACAGCGGCGGAATTTTCGCCCGAAACACTACTGTTAGTACGATCGTCTGAAG